CCAAATTGTGCCAACATTCCAAGCATAAGAAAATGTGCAATAAAGCGGGTAAAATCGGAAAAATCACTGAATTTCATTGACTTTTAACGAACTTTGCAATACACATCATTGTTCAAACTTCCTAGGCTTCTTTTTAAAAAAAGAAACAAAAATTTTCAGACATAATATTTTTTCAGATTAGCTATGTTCCATAAAAATTTTCAGACATAATATTTTTTCAGATTAGCTATGTTCCATGACCTGGCAAGTGATCGGCCCTCGGCATCCTTGAGCGAGTACGCTCCTCCCGCGTGCACTCGCTCGACCAGGTATGGTCCTTCCCAATTTGGCTCCAGCTTTCCCACATGCTTGAGTACATCAACCCGCTTCCAAACCAGGTCACCGACCTGGAGTCTGCGAATTTTCACCTTTTTGTCATGAGCGGCTAGCATCCTCTGCTTGTACGCCTCCACCCTAATTGCTGCTTTCCCACGCAGCTCCTCGATAGTATCTAAGGCTACCATCATCAGGTCCTCGTTCTGTTCAGCATCATACGTGCTCGACCTCTGGGAGGATAACTCGATCTCGACCGGCAGCAATGCTTCCATTCCATAAGCTAAACTGAACGGGGTTTCTCCTGTGGTCGACCTTGGAGTTGTACGATACGCCCACAGTACGGAGCTCAGCTCATTGACCCATGCTCCCGAGGCCTTCTCCAACTTTGTCTTCAGCCCATTCAATATAATTCGATTAGTTACCTCGACCTGGCCGTTAGCTTGCGGATGCGCCACAGAGGCAAAGTGTTGCTCGATTTTCATATCTTCACACCATGCTCGAATCCGCTTCCCATTGAACTGGGTGCCGTTATCGGAAATCAACACTTTGGGCACACCAAACCGGCAACAAATGTTATTTTATATGAATTTAATTACTTTCTCCTCTGTAATCTTCGCTAAGGGCTCGACCTCCACCCACTTCGTGAAATAATCGACCGCCACTATTAAGAACTTCCTCTGCCCGGTCCCCTGAGGCATCGGCCCCACCAGGTCGATACCCCACTGGGCGAATGGTATAGGAGCACTCATCGTCGTCATGGTTTCGGCCGGTTGGTGGATAAGGGGGCCGTGCTTTTGGCATTGCAAGCACTTCTTCACCATCGTCTTCGCATCTTCTCTCATCGTTGGCCAAAAATATCCTGCCCTCAAAATTTTCGCCACCAAGGCCCCCGACTTACTATGGTCACTGCAACACCCTTCGTGCATCTCTCTTAACACGTATCGACCCTCTTCCTTAGTAACACAACACAGATGTGGTCCTCCATAAGATCGTTTGTAAAGAATGCCTCCATGCTCAAAAAACCTTCTAACCACCTTTATCGCTCCTCCCCTCAGCTCCTCCAAGATCGGGGCCCTCCAATCCTCTACCTCCTCGATCTCCGCCACTTCTGCTTCGATCACACTCTTTTCAAGATGCAAAAGAGTAACACTTCTACTCTTGCAATCAACCAAGCTCTGAGCAGTCTTCGACAATAGGTCTGCTCGACCATTCTCTCCTCGAGGAATTTGTATTAGCTCGAACGAGTCAAACTCCTCTCTCAGCTTCTTCATCTCATCCACATATTTCTGCATCCGATCCTCCTTGACTTCAAACCCTTCTTGAAACTGCCCAACCACCAGTTGAGAATCAGAATGCACTTGCAATTTTTGAGCTCCTCCTACTTTGGCTAGACTCAAGCCCTTAATCACTGCCTCGTGCTCAGCTTCATTATTGGATATCTTGAACCCCACTTCAGCCGCAAATTCCAAGTAATCACCTTTGGGAGAGACAAGGACAATTCCCAATCCTGCCCCGCTTCGGGCCACAGATCCATCTACAAACAACTGCCATAATCCCTCTGACTCCTCCTCGACTTTCGTGCCTTCCTGGATAAAATCAGCCAACACCTGTGCCTTTATGGCTCTCCTTGGCTCATACATCAAAGAATATTCACTGAGTTCAACCGCCCACTTCACCAATCGACCCGAGACTGATGGCCGACCAAGTGTTTCTCCCAGCGGCATATTCGTTCGCACCTTCACCTTATGATTCAAGAAATAAGGGCTTAACTTTCGAGCAGTTACAACCACAGCTAAAGCACACTTCTCGATCTCCGAATACCTTGTCTCGGCCCCCTGCATCACTCTGCTCACATAATAGATAGGAAATTGCGTTATTCCTTCCTCTCGCAATAATACCGAACTCACAGCCCTCTCTCCAATAGAAATGTATAGCACCAACTCTTCGCCCTGTATGGGCTTAGCCAACAATGGAAGGTTGGCCAACACCCCTCGCAACTCCTCAAATGCCTTTTGTGCTTCCTCTGTCCATTGGAATTTCGCACTCTTCTTCAACGTTTTGAATAATGGGCCGCTCTTCTCCGCCACCGTCGATATGAAACGACTCAGCCCCGCTATTCGACCAGCTAAGATCTGCACTTCTTTAACATTCGTTGGCGACTTCATCTCCATCACAGCTCGAACCTTCTCCGGATTGACTTCAATACCTCTCTTGGTCACCAAGTAACCCAAGAATTTTCCGGACCTCACCCCAAAAGAGCATTTAGCAGGATTCAGCTTCATCCCATACCTTCGTAATGTTAAGAACGTTTCTTTCAAATCTCGTACGTGATCCAACTCCTCCTTACTTTTCACCAACATATCATCCACATACACTTCCATGTTCCTCCCTAGTTGCTCCTTACAGATTTTATCGACCAACCTTTGATACGTGGCGCCCGCGTTTTTCAAGCCGAACGGCATGAACACGTAACAAAATGTCCCTCGACTCGTTACGAAACTCACCCGCTTCCAGTCCTCTCTCGCCAAGGGGATTTGATGGTATCCCTGGGAGGCATCCATCAGGCTCAACAGCTCGCACCCTGCCGTTGAGTCGACCAGCTGGTCAATTCTAGGCAGCGGATATAAGTCCTTCGTGCATGCTTTGTTCAGATCGCGGAAATCAATGCACATCCTCCACTTTCCCTCCGCCTTTGACACCATCACCGTGTTCGACAGCCATTCGGGGAACTGAATCTCTTTAATGTGTCGCGCTCCCAACAGTTTCTCGACCTCCTGCTTGATGATTTTGTCCATCTCCGACCCATGGTGCCTTCTTTTCTGCTTCACCGGCCTCACGCTGAGATTGATGTTTAGCCGGTGCTCGATCACCTCCGCACTTATTCCCGTTAACTCCTCTGCTGTATAGGCAAAAACATCAGCGAACTCCCTGACCAACTGGATCAGCCTCGACCGAATAGGCTCTTCCAGATCCTTTCCGATCCTAAACTTTCTCCCTTCACACCCCTCGATCATTTGAATCTCCTCGACTTCTTCCCCAGGTTGGATATCCAATTTCTCCTTTCCTTTCTCCACTTTCTGTTTATCCTCCTTCGACCTCGATCCCCCTGGTCGATTAATCTCCTCCCCCTTCGACTCGGCCTGCCTCTTCGCCAATTGTTTGTTATTGCTGACTGTCGTTTGGTAGCAACTTCTCGAAGTGAGCTGATCCCCAGCAATCTCCCCTACGTTTTCGCCCACCGGATATTTGATCGTCATGTGGTACGTGGATACGACCGCCTGGAATGCATTCAAGCTCGTCTGCCCCATGATGATGTTATAGGACGACTCAGCCCCTACAACCACAAATCTCACCAAGCGTACCTTCCTCAACTCTCCCGATCCCAATGCCACGGGCAAACTGACCTCTCCCATCGGCATAACTTCTCCCCCCTTTAAGACCGTAGAGCGCCGTGGTCACCGGTTTCAGCTCCATATTCAACTCCTTGTTAATCTGCACAAAACAGTCATAGAACATCACATCTACCGAACT